TCGTGATCCGCCTGCCTCGGCCTCCCAAAGTGCTGGGATTACAGGCTTGAGCCACCGCGCCCGGCCCAGTGCATTATTTAAGCTATCTCTGTTCCTCACTTTGACTTACCATATATTAATAAATCCCAAACTTTTATTTCTTTACTGATTGAAACCTTAATATAATTTAATATATATTATGTCAAATATCTGTGTTAACATGAGAATCCATTCATTTTAATTAATGAATAATTCACTTTAAGCCTTTTTTTGAGAGGTAGTCTTGCTTTGACACTGGGCTGGAGTGCAGTGGTGCAATCTCAGTTCACTGCAACCTCTGCCTCCCGGTACAAGTGATTCTTCTGCCTCAGCCTTCCGAGTAGCTGGGACTACAAACTCCCACAACCAGGCCCAGCTAATTTTTTTATTTTTTAGTAGAGACGGGGTTTCACCATGTTGGTCAGGGTGGTTTCGATTTCTTGACCTCGTGATCCGCCCGCCTCGGCCCCCCAAAGTGCTATGATTACAGGCATGAGCTACTGTGCCCCGCCTACTTTAGGCCTTTTTACTAGTCTGTATGGTCACCTGAATACTGTTAAGAATAGTAGTGCTAGTATTGTAGACTAACTATAACTGTCAGCTACCAAGGAATGTCAGTTATTGTATTTGAACCTGCTTGCTCAATACAATGCAGATAACATAAATTTATGATATTCATGTATATCGTAATTAATATGAATGTCTGCTAACTATATTTTGGTATGCCACATAGTAAAATCTGCATATCTAAACTGTGAGTGAGCTGATAACTTTGTTTTAAAAAGCAAACTTTGAAAAAAATTAATTTTCTTCACATAATTCATGGATATCTATATATTTGTCTTCAATAAATCCATCATCATCTATCACAAATGGATGTAATTGCTCAAATATTACTGTAGTTTCTTCAGAGTTTGTTTCTGGTATCTGGGAAAGAGGGCTTGGATTTCCAGGAAAACCATCTTCATAGGTTTCTGCTTCATGCTCTTCCAGGCGATGATGATTATAACTAAGCAGAATATTATACCATATTGGGCATTTGATAGCAATAAAAATGAGGAGTGAAGTCATCAGTACAGTGACAACAACACCAACAAGGAAAGTCCAACTTTTTCCAAGAGGTTCATGTTCTTTAATGGAATACCAGGATAGGAGAGAAAGAAAATTTGTTAAGTTGGCAAAATAATCATAATCATATATCAACTATCATCAATATTTGTATTAGAAATAAACATACATTGTAGTTTTCTTCAGATGAATTTCGTATGGTGAATTTCCTTTTTTCAAAATAACTGTCTTTGCAATTTTGTTACTTTTTTACCTAAGACCGCATTGATTTATACTCATTAGGATTTGTGATTAGACTAGTTAAAGGCTCAGAGAAGTTAAATAATTTGCACAATGGTGTTTAGCTTGTAACTAGCAAAGCCTAGTTTGGAAGACCAATATTTTATAAATCTTTAGTTGAGATGAGCAATTGTTCTTTTAAATTTTTTATAGAAATTTAAAGAGAGCTACCTTGGTTTATTTAGTATGATACATTCAGCAGTGTTAATATTCAGAACCAGCATACATTACCTGAATTTCTTGTTAAGTTGTTCAAAGAGCTATTAAATGTTGAATTGCTGA